TGGGGGGGGGGGGGGGGGGGGAAGGTTCAAGTTAGTTTGTGCCTGAATTTGGATATCGGCTTATCTGAACTTTTGATTTCTGTTGATCCGGTTTTGTTCAGTGGTATAGAATGACTTAGTGATTGAACTCAAACAAGGATGTGGTTTGAAATCAAAATGTGATTGTAGATGTATGGGATTAGAGCTCACAACTACATAGACTATATGAGTGTCCATCGCATAGGATGAGATTTAGATGAATTACGCACGGTTTAATTCCTGGAATAAGCTTTCATCTTGAGAAATCAGTGAATTGCTGTGTTTATCTCAAATATTTCTTTCCTGACGGTGCACTATTATGTCAATTTAAGATTTGTGGTAAGCTGCTTATATGACTGAAATATTTTATTTTTGGTGTTTAACTTGGTGATGATGCAGAGAGCCAATGGTTTGGGACTACAAGCTGTTACTGGTAAAGATTATTGCCAAGTCATGATGAACTTCCCGAGCGATACTGTCCCTAAATGGGTAAATATTCCGCTGTAGTCTATTTGTCAATTTCCATCTGATTTCCCAACCTAATGTGTTAACAGAGTTAAGTGCGCTATGGTGTTATCCTTTGATAAAAATTTCTGTCACAATGATGTGATGAATTTGTTTATTTGACCTCTCTTTTATTGGCCCATTCCATCAATAGAAAGATCCTAAGACTGGAGAGCTTGAAGGACTTTCATTTGAGTTTAACCTATGCGAAGCAGTGGCTACATGGGAACAAGTGAGTATTGTAGTTCTTGAAGTTTGTATTAATGTTTGGTTTATATATTTTGTTTTAGTCTTTACAGTGATTCGTTATCTAGTGAGTTGAATGCTCAGGTCAGGAATAGCACTACAATACTCACCAAGGAGTACATTGATGCCTTGCCAAATGGCTGGGAGGATTATGCATGGCGCAGAATTAATAAAGGAGTACAACTGTAAGTAAATGGCATTGATTATGGTCCTTCAGTTTAAGTGGCATAATTGCATATGATGGGCTATCATATGAACTGTAGCATACTGTTTACATCTGATTATCTCATCCTTCGAAATTTTTATGGTTCTTTAGGTAGGTAAGATGAGCCTCTTGCCTTTAATATTAGCTAGAAAATACCAATTAAGCTTATATGAAAAAAGGAATCTTGGGACTCCCAAATATGAGTTTCTGTATGGCTTTATCTGAGTGGACTTGTAAAAGTTTGTACTGTAAAATAGGATTAGATATCCATTTACCTAGACAAAAAGCTCAAATGATGTACAAAACGCAATGGATTTCTTTCATAACATATCAACTTGTAATCATGGGTTACTGTGTTGTGTAGTTGTCCTTTTTGGCTTTAATTAAGTTATATATTAATGCAGGAATCGCTGCCAGAATAAATCTTTATGTGTTGAGAAACTTTCATTGGTGCTTCCTGAAACACCTCCATATTTCCCACGGCAGTTTGACCGGTGTGCTGTTATTGGTAACTCTGGAGATCTTCTAAAGACAAAGTTCGGGGCGGAGATAGATACTTATGATGCAGTTCTTAGAGAGAATGGTGCCCCGATCCAGGTTAACATATGAGTTATTGTAACTTCCAATTCTCATCTTTTTAGCATATTATACATTTTCATGTTATGTAATATGTTTGGTTCCAGAATTACACAGAACATGTAGGAAAGAAGGGCACGTTTCGCCTTCTTAACCGAGGATCGGCAAAAGCTCTAGACAAAGTCGTGGAGTTGGATGGTATTGACCAACTGCTTTATTGTTTTCCTTCCTTCATGATGATTATATTCTAAGAAAATAAGTTTGGTTTTAGCTTTCTATTAACTCTTTTACCTCTGGTCATTTCTGGATGGTTGTACTTCTAACTGCGGTTGGAAACTTTCAAATTCTGTTAAATTTGCAGAAACAAGGCAGGAGGCCCTACTAATAAAAACAACAATTCATGATATAATGAATAAGATGATCCGGGTTCGTACGTTATTCACTTATTTTGTCCCTTAGCTGTTTAGTTTCCGGATCACGTTTTCTTCCAACTACTTTAGAGTATCTATGCCATCCATCTAATGATGCTTACGTTACATAATCACTAGACTTAAATTTGATGATCTGTCTTCCATGGATTTCCTTTCTCGACAGGAAGTTCCGATTAAAAACCCTGTTTATTTAATGCTGGGTGCTTCATTTGGCTCGGCAGCCAAGGGAACTGGGCTGAAGGCTCTTGAATTTGCTCTCTCAATATGTGATTCTGTTGATATGTATGGTTTCACAGTGGATCCAGGTTACAAAGAGTGGTATGAAGTCTGCTGCCAATTTTGTTCATCGGTCTATTATCTACTATGATTACTTTTCAGTCATCCTTTCGTGGTATTTTTCAGGACTCGATATTTTTCAGAATCACGACAAGGGCACACTCCTTTGCATGGTAGAGCATACTACCAGATGATGGAGTGCCTGGGTGTAAGTCTACGAGTTCTCGTTTTCTTCATCGTTCATCTTGCTTAACAGAACACTTGAAACACAATGATTAAATCAGTTGGGAGTTTCTTTATCCAATACCATTTCCTGACTTCATAATCAGTATTTTATCTGCACAAGAATAGCTACCTTAATTTACTGAAATCACATTGGTTGATGGATTCAGAATTTATGGGGTTCATCATTTTAGTAGACTTATGGGCTATACACCATTCTGATAATATATTTTTTTCTCTTCTTTCGAAGCTCATTAAAATCCATTCTCCTATGAGAGCTGATCCAAACAGAGTCGTGAAATGGGTGCCTACCCGCGATACAATCACAGCGGCAAGAATTGCGGCAGGGAAGCTTTTAAGGTTATCATTCTTACCAAGTCTGGGTTTCACCACTATGCTGGGAAAGATCCTGATGGACAAAATCCTACCTTTCTTACTTCTTGCATTTCTTGTGCACGATTTTCACGGTTCCTCAGCTACGTCAAAACTTATGTTCATCCTAAATCTCACACTTAAACGAATGAATTCAATACGCAGGAGAGTTGGAGCAATGTCTTCAGAGCCGTTGGCTTCGTGCTCCATAATAAAGAAGCGAGACAAACACAAGCGTCCGATGGTCGCACACCTCAGAAAACCTGCGACCGAGCATCAAAAATTCGTGAAAGGTGCAACCATGTACCCTTTGGAACACAGTCCAGGGCATGGTCAGGTTTGCATTGTACCGGCCGACTGAGAGACTCTGAAGACAGGGACAGGTATTACAGTTTCTACAAGAATTCATCCCCGGTCTGAAAATTCACTTGTCTAGGAATCAGTTTATTGCTATAAAGGGAGGGGAAACAGGTATTAGATGGACGAAAACCGATTCATTAACCGCAAGTTTGAAAGAACGGACATTGCAGGGATTTCGATCTTCAACGCCGAGGTTAGGATCCATTCTTTTCTTTTCTTTTTTTCATCCAGTTTCTGATATTTTAGTTTCATTAAGATCAGAATACACGACGACTGAAATAGGCAAAGATTGGAATTGTCTTTAAAAAAAAAAAAAGCGTATCTGTGTTTTCGTTTTGTAAACTTTATTGTGATAAAATGCATATCTGGGGGTTGTTTCCGTGGATTGTGAAAATTGCCTCTCACGCATTATAGTATGACGGGATTCAGTTTGAGGCTTCACTCTCCTCTGACTCTGTATGAAAAACTTTCGAAGAGGAAGAAGAGTGAAACAGAATTCCCATAAATTGTTTTGGTATGAAAATATTACTAGTGTAAGAATGTAGTAAACATCTGTCGATCGAAACCAAAATTTAATTTCAAGAAATCGATATTTTACAGTCGACTGACGAGTGTCCGAAAATTTAGATATATCCCTCATTAAAATAGTATGTACTCTAATTATATTCATCCATGATTATATTTTGGTGGGTTTTCAATGTACTTGTGTAGAGCATGCATGGATCATGGTTGGTTTCTTTTATGAGGATGCTTCTTTCAAAGTGATTAATTAATAGTCAGATAGATGTTTCTCTAATGCGTTAGCAAAAATACAAATTTCCCGAAACTACAAATGTATTTTTCATGTACATATAATATTGACTCAGGTCTTGTTCCATCAAATGTATTTTTATTCCAAATAATTGAGACAACCGCCAAACAATTGCCTAATCACATTATGCAACATCATTTATTTATTTATTTATTTATTTATTTAGAGGCACGTGTAAGCATTTCCAAACCCGGACGCGCTCACACACTCGATTAAGATTCTCTCTCTCACATCCCTTTCTCCGAGATAAACCTAAAGAAAGAGTAAAGAAATCCTTTTCTTCTTCTTGCCCAGCAGCTACTGCATACCTCACCTATACATACACCCTACCATATCTACGCATGTACGGAAATGGCGATTCCAGAGTGAGAGGGTGAAGCAAAAAATCTGTTTTTGAGAAACTCTCCCTCTCTCTCGCGCGCGCTGGAGATGGCGGAGCTGCAGCCAGGGAACGGTCTGCAGCCAAACTGCGGCGTTCCTCCACCGGAGACCCTTGTGATTGAACCACCGGCGGAAGCCACTGCCATCGGAGCCAGCGGCTCCGTTGGATCGAAGCGGCTGAGAAGACCGAGCGTCCGATTAGGAGACATCGGCGGCGACCAGTACCATCTCGTGCCGTACGATTCGCAAGCAAGAAGATCAAAATGGAAACCGTCGGGTAATCGAAAGGAACCGAATTCGACTGGTAAGTCGTCGAGGACTCGAACCTTAACGAATTTGGGCTCCGGGCACGAGAACAGCGGAAACCTAGACGAGGAGAGAGAAGGGAACGTGGATTCCATGGCCGTCGGGAGTTGGAGGGTCAAGAAACGGGTCGCCGGACCGGCGACGACAGCATCCACCAAGCGGGTTCGGTCGAATTGGGTGCCAAAAACGGATGAGATCCGAAACAGTTTCGATCACGGGGATGAGAAATGCAGCGGAGGAGAAGATATGGAAGAAGGGTTTCGCGATTTCAGCCGGGAAGATTCGAAGTCTCCGATGAAAGAAGAGTCGCATGAGAATTCGACGGAAAGAGACGATTTTTACAGTAGAAGAAGGTGCAGTAGCACAAGTAGAAGTAGGATGAGGGTTTTCGAGAGTAGGGGATTCGAGTTATCTCAGCGGTCGGACATGGACGGCGGGGGAGGGGGAGGAGGAGGGAGAGAAGGGGTGAAAATATGGCTGGAAGAGTTAGGGTTGGGGAGATACTGGCCGGTGTTTGAGATAAACGAGGTAGATGAAGAGGTTCTGCCATTGTTGACACTGGAGGATCTGAAGGATATGGGGATAAATGCTGTAGGAACGAGAAGGAAGATGTACTGCTCAATTCAGAAGCTCGGGAGGGAGTTCTCATGAGAGAGAGAGAGGTAGAGAGTGGGAATTTTGATCGGTAAAATTGGAATTATTGAATGTCAGCCATGGCAATGTAAGCTGCAATGTCTGAACCTCTCCAAAAAAAAAAGCTGTTCTTCTCTTTTTTTTTTTTTTGCGGTGGTTGTTCTTGTTTGAAGGTAGAAACAGTAGAGAGGTCTAGTAGTAGTAGTAGTGAGAAAAGAACAGGAAGAGGAAGAAGAGAGGACTAGAAGCATTGGGTTAGTACTTAGTAGAAGTTTCTGTCTTGGGTCTGGAAATACATTAATTTCCTCCTCAGATGCGAGAGGGGGAGATGTCGGGTCCATATAAATTTGCTCTGTGTCCGAATAGAAGAGTTGGGGAGGACATGATGATGAACCCTGAAAAGGGAAGCAGCAGTGTCTGAATATCATCGGTTCAATTGCAAAGATTACACGCCTTGAGGGCTGGTGTTGCCGGGAATCCCACCACCACCACTGCCGCCTGTTTTCGTTCCAAACCTTCCCTTTTTTCAAACATGTTTGACAGTGAGAAACCGGGATACTTACATTTCGTACGAGGCATTCCCTTGAGAAGGCTTGGGTTTTTGCTGGGTTGTTGTATAGCATTATCGGCGAATCGTTGTCCCCAAGAAGCTTACTGTTGCATCAGAAAACACGGATCGCGGCCCCTGAGCCTCGCGCGCCGTTGATCATCCAACTGTGGTTCAAAGGATCTCCTATGATCAACCCTCCCTGTGCGAGGCAGCAGAAGCAAAAAAGTTGGAATAAATAAGCAACTTGGTTATGAAACCCGGAGAACAAAGGTGTTCATCACTAAGGTATAGCAAAATGCATACCTTCCCAATCAAAACAGGGATGGCAGCCGAGTTTGTTGCATAGCAGGCAACAGCCGCAGGCTTCCCGACAAACCTCGGGACACATTCTTCGAGTTCTGCGCGTATAGATGTAGTTCCTGATGGCAGAGAGAGCATAGATGAGAATCAAAATCATAATTTAGCAGAAAATGTGTATTGTGTTCACATCTTCACAGCTCTCACGTGAGTCGTCCAACGCGAACGAGAGGAATTGATGAAGAGATACCTGAATCTGATGATACAAACGCCTGATGTGGAAATCTTCGTGTCCTAAACAGATCGGCGCGTGCCCCTACGGCGAAAAAACAGAGGACATGTACGTACACTCATACGCACGTACGCGCAGACACCGATGAGCTACAAACGCCACAATCCATGCGTAGATACACACACATACGCACACGGGCCTGGGAGATTGTTGGTGAGCCACCAACCGAAGAGGTGGCGGAAGAAATCTCGGAGCTGACCAAAGGCGAATAGCACTGAAGTACGTACAAACATCGGTGAGGTACGGGACCGTTATCATCCTTGAGGTCGTCGTCGCTGTCGTCTTGGTCTTCTTCTCCGGCGACTGTCTGACGAACTCGACTATGATATCAGGAAACTTTTCGCCAACTCGGAATTTGAAGTTTCTCACAGAGAGAGAGAGAGAGAGAGAGAGAGAGAGAGAGAGAGTCCAAACGAATTGAATCTCCTCTTTGGCTCTTTCACCTCCGTCAAAAGAGAGGATCGGATCATGAAAACTTGGGTTTCCTTTGTTCGTTTCCCATAATTTATACGACCCATATCGTCGGTCCATTCAGATTTTTTGTGTGAATATAAAAAAAACAAACATATAGTTTTAAGCATTAAATAAACATATTTCAGTTGTATTCTAACACGCAGTTCTTAGAATTTAATATGATTTTTTCCCATGAATCGTCGGCAAAACTTTGTAAAATCTTCAGTGGAGACAATTCTCTTAAACTTGAAGCTTCATGTCTGAACTCTCTCTCTCCACTCCATCATTAGTCTTCGCTGCCTGAAACGTTGAAGCCGTGCATGTGAGATTACAGCATTTTACACTGAAGAAGTCTGTAGGGAATGTCGTGTTCATATGTTGGATTTCAAGATCTTGACAAACGTTACTCATTCAACACAACATCCTGTCCGGTAATCATGCCAATAATTTATCGTCCCGAAACACAATTCGATATTTTCAGAGCTAAGGGTTACACGTCGGGATGCATAGGAAAGGATGTAGAGAAAGGATTATTACCAGTTTTTGAGATCTGGGTTGCGATGTCCTGCGGGTTCTTCACTGTCCTTTTTGCAGAATTAGCTGTTCAGATTACACAAGACATGCACTTTTAGATTACGGGTCACATAAAAATAGGATGAGAATATAATTGATCGATGTCCCGACCCGAAAGCACATCTTAACAATCATAAAACCATGCATGTCAAAATGTGATGTTCATATTCTCAAATATTCATTATACTCATTCAGCATGTAAGGGATCATTATATGGGCATGAGGATGCGGAGAGAGCCACTGCTTTCACCTTTTTTTTAAAAAAAAAGGTATCTATTTTTTTCACTTCCTTACCCTTGAACTTTCTTTTCTTCTTGGCTCTCCTCCTCTTTCTCTCTTCTTTTGTAAGTTCAGACTCTTCCTTGATGTCACCTTTGCCCGAGAATATTTCCTCTGGAGCAAGCAATGCTGCATCTGAGACTGCCACAGGTGCAACCTACACATGGAAGAAATTCGTATGCAGTTTCAAACCATAAGATTACGATATTTTAATCAAATGATTATAAAGAGTGGCACGATTACCTCTTCCATTGCAATGGCAGGGACGTTCACCTGGATAGACATGTCTTCGATCACCTGAAACGTATCGAAGAAATCAGAGTTTCAAACAATCTCTATAGACTGGTCATCACTATTTCAGACAAGAGTGAGAAACAATACAGGTTTCGGTGTGAAGTGGAAGTGAGAAAGAGCATCCAACTTCAGGCATAGTTTCTTGAATAGCATGCCCGCCTGATTGATAATACATGAAAACCAGATCGTTAAGAAATTAACACCAGGGGATAAAAATGAGCCTCAGATGTGGTATTGAAAAAAAGAAGATATGTAATCAGCAAAAAAAAACATTTAAAAGATCGAAACAAGTTGGAACCTCTTTCTTCAGTTCATCTGAATGTGATGTTGGAGCAAATGCTGGATTAGCCTTCTGGACGTATTCTTCCTACAAATAACCAAAAAGGACAAAAGAAACTCATAACATTGAATCTTATGTGAGGCAGTTAAATGACTATCTATAGGTTATCTTATGGAGCAGTTGAATGTGTGTGTGCAGCAAGAGAAATTCTAATACTGTAAAAGTCACAAACCTCGTACACTTCTGCAAGACCCTTCTTGCTCTTATTATCATCCTGCATTTTTTCCATGAGAAAAACGACCATTTATAGTATTATTCTTTAAATATATAAAACCATAGCAAGTATAATGAAAGAATAACCACATCAAAGAATCTTATTTACCAATTCCTTGACTTCTCTTGGTGCTTTTGTGGGCAAACTTAGAGGGTTTTGAACATCATCAAACCGTCCCTGTAAACATATGAATCAGTTTACTACAAAATGAAGGGTAGAGAACACGAGAGAACATGATCACGAACTACTTCCTGAATTAACTAAAAGTTACCTCAATGATTCTGTTCTTGATCAATTCTTCAAGTGATGCCGTGACTTCTTCTGTAATAATAGGAGCCGGCCTAACATTGTGCTCAAAATCCAAATCGACTTCAAGGGCACTGTTCTTCGGTCTTTTTGCAGCAGTTACCTTTTAACATGCCATGACAAATAAAAATAGAAAATTTCCATCTAGTTTTGTTAGCAACAGAAAGCACAATATCCTATCGAATGCATCCATTGTGTGTAACAGATGACTACCTCTCCTTGCATTGTCCAATGTTTTGGATCTAAGTTTGATTTCTCCATCTGTTTGATCTTAGACTGAAGCTTTAGGAGTTCTTTTTCATGAGTAGACAGCTCCTCTTTTCCCTAAAAGAGGAGGAAATCAATAAGGGGCCACCCTTTTCAACAAATGTACTGACAAAAGTACGACTTCACAGTACTGCAATAACCAGAAATGATAACATCCAATACCATAATATAGGAACAAGTAAACCTGATATAGTTAGTACCTGATTACCAATTCCATCAGTATCCTGTTCTTCACTTGAATCCTCAGACTTCCTTTTAGTCCCCTTCTTTTTACCACCAAAGAAATCTTCATATCTGGTTATCATTCATTAGACAGCAATCTTAGGAGAACAAAAATACAGCTATGGCAACTGTACTGGAGGCATTAACGGTCATATAAAACTAGTAAACAGTAGGAAACCAAAGTGGTTTAATCCAAATCCCGTAAGAACAAACTTTTTTGCAGCCATAAGCGAGATTATATCCATTTCTGGAAGAGCTCATTCAGGAAAAACTCATTCAGCTGTAAATGAAGCGAAATGTGGAAAATAAGGTCATCAAACGTGTGCATAGAGACCATACTTTGCATTTTCCAATTTAGCTGCTTCTTCACCTTCATCTTCATCACCAAAAGCTCCGAACTGGAAAATTCGTAACCAAAGAAAATAAAAATGATGATAATCAGCCCTACATCTCCTTACTGAACAGAAAAAAACATGAAAAGTTCACAAAAAAGTATGTGCTCACCTCCTTGTCCTCTTCTTCATCCTCATCATCGTCTTCATCTTCTTCGTCTTTGTCATCTTCATTGTCCTCTTCATCTTCATCATCATCATCATCAACATCATCAACATTGTGTTTCTTTCCCTTTGCCATTCCCTTCCTGTTCTTGTTGTCCAGCCCAAGCTCCTCGGTTTCACCCTCCTCTAAAAATTCTTGCAACTGTTTTATACTGAAGAACCCATCCTCTATTCCTCTATTTTCTCCATCCTTTTCCTTTTCCTCATCTTCTTTCTCTTCTCCATCCTCCTCGTCCTCTTCTCTATCATCTTCATCTTCTTCCTCTCCCCCTTCGCTTTCACTTCCTCCTTTCAATCTCTCTTCTGTCCCTCCATTGTTCTCTTCTTCCAGTTCATCATCTTCATCATCATCATCTGTTCCAAAACCATCCATCTCCATGTCTTTGGCATCATCTGCACACGGAAGCTTAAGGCTCTTCGCTTCTGCCAAACTCCCGAGATTGCTTATTTCTTGAGGATTTTTCTCGAACTTCTTCACCTCTTTCCGCAGGCTCGACAGTAAAGGTTGAGACTGCATATCAATCTGCTGCCAGACCTGCTCAGCATCAAACCCATCAACCAGGAGCTGATCGAAAGGGGATTTTGGGGTGTATTCCTTCAGTTTGGAGAAGAGGTACTGAGACGCATCCCGAGCCACCTCACATATACAACTCGGCGCTAAAAACACTGGAGGGTCAGTTGACTTAAGCTTGTGAAGGGCATCCAAGCCCGGGTCGCTTGCTTCGGCCATAGATTCAACGGTCGTAATCTACAGATTCTCCCTTCCAGGGATTGCTCAGGGGTTCTTGGGAATCAGTTTTTCTGAAAATTTGGAATCCGTTGTTCAGGGCTGCAGTATAAAGAGTATTACAGAAAGGGGAAACAGCAGACAACCTAGTCGAAGAATCTCACAAACACAAGTAACGCAACCCTAATAAATTAGACTACGGAACATAATCAAAAACAGGACAGGATTTCACAGGATTACAACCAAATTCAAACCAATCATCCAAGAGAGAGGAATCGCATGGAGACGATACCTAACAAAGGAGAGAGAAAAGCCTCAAAGCCCAGAGTACTCAGAATTCCGAGAGAGAGTTTCCGGCCGACAGATACGGCGGCAGTGCCGGTGGCGGCGGCGGCGGACAGAGAGAGGGAAGGTTTAGCTGGTTAGGGAAGGGTTTTAGCGTCGGAGGACTCGGGGACAAAGACGACAGAAACCGGACGAATTTTTTTTTCTATTTTTTTAATATGTAATTAAAAATTGAGAAATACATTTGGGCCACGGCCCGACCCGATTGGACCAACCCGTGAACACTCGTGGACCGCTCAGTTCGGGAAAACAAATAAATATCTTATTCTAAACGAGGTTATAGCGTCTCATGGAAGTCTTGTGGATATTTACCAATCTTAATTCAAAGTTTTATTGTGAAAAAAATCATTTAAATTACCTGGTAATTACGGTTCAGTACATACGAAAATAGAGGTGTCTTAAGATAAAAGTCGATAAATAATGGGCTCTTTTGGTAATTTTCCAAACTTCTTGTCGACGAAACGACCTTTGATGTGTCAAGACTGTGACACCTATGACCTACCTTGCTTCAGAAGCTATGTTGTACTTTTTTTTTATCAGTAAACTTGTAAAATCAATCATTTTTTTTCTTAAAACGATATTCATTTGAGTTTTTTTTATTAAGATATTTCATGCACATCTCTAAAGAAAATAGATCGACTAATTTAATTAATTTATACTGCATTTTTAATTAGTTATATATTATTTGGCTGCCTTTTATTTATTTTTTTCGCTGAAAGTGACCAAAGCTTCCCTTTTCTTTCTTTGCCAAGTCGCTTCAGAAGTTCTAAAATTTTATTAGAGGTGTATTTTAATCTTAGAATTTTCCAAATTTATCTGGAAATTTGGGATAGAAAAAAATTATACTTGTAACGATATATATGGAATTGCAACTTTAATAAAATATTTTTGGGAATTTAACTATTCTTCTAACAAAAATAAAATCTAAGGTCTTTATGGAAAAAGAAATTACTTTTTTCCCATAGAAAAGTTATGGTTTTTTCTCTTGTTCTCATGTAAAAAAAAAATAACTGCTAGATAATTTGCTCGCGAAAGAAAAAAAAAATTAAAAAAAAAACAAGAGCCATTAATGAAATAGAAAGCGGCAAAATTATTCATTTTCATTATGCCTACTAATATCATTATATGATTCTTTTATGAAATACAATTGCATTAATATTTTTTTTTAGAATTTATAAAAACTATACAAAAAGATCTTTCCAAGTGGACGGAATAAAACACTATTAATGACGTGGCTAAAAAGAATCATTTTTTGAAGGGTTAATCCCATATTCCCCACAAATTTTCGAAAAACTTCCAATTTCCTACATCAATTTTTAATTTGATACAAAACTATACCGAATTTCAAATATTTCCAAATTCTCACACAAAATCTTAAAATGTGTTGCAATTTCCCTCATACAGATTTCGCCAAATCATCACATTTCGCCACATCATCCTGCCACGTCAGAAAATAAGTAAAAAATAAAATAAAATAAAAAATATCTAGAATTTTTTTAAAAAACTAATAAAATAAAATATTTTTTAAAAAACTTTTAAAAAATTACAGAATTTTAAAATTTATTTTTTAAAAATAAAATAAAAAATTACATATTACATATATACACAATTTTATATCTATACACAATTATATACATATACATATATACACATAAATAATATATATATATATATTCATATATGTATATATACATATTCATATATATCTATGCATTGAATATGTATATATGTATGTATGCATGCATGTATAAATGTATATATATGTATATATATGCATATGAATATGTATATATATACATTTATATATATATACATACATATTCACATATATATACATATTCAATGTATATATATGTATATATATATATATATATAATTGTGTATAGATATAAAAGTGTGTATATATGTATATGTAATTTTTTAAAAGTTTTTTTAAAAAATTGTGTATACATATAAAAATGTGTATATATGTATATGTATAAATGTGTATATATATGTATATAATTATGTATGTAGATGTATATATGTATGTATATGTATATGTATATAATTATGTATAAATATATATGTATATAATTATGTATGTAGATGTATATATATGTGTATATATATATGTATATGTATATAATTGTGTATAGATATAAAATTGTGTATATATGTAATATGTAATTTTTTATTTTATTTTTAAAAAATAAATTTTAAAATTCTGTAATTTTTTAAAAGTTTTAAAAAAAATATTTCATTTTATTAGTTTTTTAAAAAAATTCTGGAAATTTTTTATTTTATTTTATTTTTTACTTATTTTTTTCTGATGTGGTAGGATGATGTCGCGAAATGTGATGATTTGGAAAAATCTATATGAGGGAAATTGTAACACATTTTAAGATTTTGTGTGGGAATTTGGAGATATTTGAAATCCGACGTAGTTTTTTGTCAAATTAAAAATTGGTATAGGAAATTGGAACTTTTTCGAAAATATGTGGGGAATATGGAATTAACCCTTTTTGGAATTTCCATATTTATAACGATCTAAAATCTTACAAAAAAAACGATCAAATTTCTTCCGCGGTTACAAAACATTAAAGATTCCACTTTTATTAAATATTCGGAGGCTTGGATATGGGAAATTATACATTGTATTAATATTAATATTTTTGTTCTCTTTAATGAGACCGTGTCTTTATTTCCTCCTTTTGGGTGGCCCAATCAGATTCCAGGCTTTACAACTTCCCGTACAACAGAGTCTCCCGTCGTCAACCCTTTTCCACTGTTGATGACTCCTTAACCCACAAGTTTTCCCTTCCCACGAAGTCTTCTCGTCTCCTTCTTCCTCTCCCTTCCCTCTCCCTCCACTATAAACACCCTCCCTACTCTCTCTGCTTCTTCCACATTTCTGCAACAAGCTAGAGAGGGTTTCGAAAAATGGCTGAAGCTGCGAGACTCCACATCGATCGAATCAGGAAGACGAAGTTTTCCATCGGCGGAGCCGAGAATCCTTTGACGGAGGATCTCCACCAAGCCGTGAAGAATCTCTCCGCTGAGCTCTACGCTAAGGATGTCCACTTCCTCATGGAGCTCATACAGGTACATACGTTTTCTTCACGGTTGTACCCATGTATATACGCGCGTGTATAGGTCTCTCTCTGTGTCTGCAGTTCCGAGATTTGTTGTGTGTGGGTTTTCGGTTCTGGTAGAGACGATACGAGTGGAATGGTCGTTGTTGTGACGGATATGTTGCGATTGTTGTTTGAATTTCTTTTTCCCGATGGTCTGTTTGTTTCCCGAGAAAATTGCGATTTTGAATTTTTTTTCAAGTTACACTTCCTCGTGCTCTTGCTCTTTTTTCGTATCTGTGCGTTCAGTACAAATGTGTGTGTATACTTGCGTTGCATGTATGTGTGATTGCTGGGTTTCTGTACAATACTTTCGACATCGACTCTGTTCTATAACATACAGCATATTCATGTACATACTCACGTATATGTACACACGGGCATCCTATGAAGGTCCATGCACACGTGTTTCATACGTACAACAAATGTAAACCGTATGCCTACGCCTTTGTGTACAACGATTCACGCATGTGTGTACTCGTAATCATACTGACATTTGCATGGATATATTCTCTGATAAATACTTGGCATGCCTGTATACGTATAGCGTAGTGAACGTTACTTAGATACATCGATATGAGTTTCTATATTTATACATGTTTATGTGTATAGCTCTCTGGATGAATTTGTGTTTACGCATGCTCATAAGTGAGCATTTGTTTGTATGTGTCCCATTAAACGCCCTTAACGAGAAATGGCTGGAGGTTTTTGCCGTTTGTTGTCTCCAAATCTTTGATTCAATTGATTGGCTTGCAATGCAAATCCAATCAATGATATTATGCTTATGGACTAACTGGAATTTGTCCATTTCAGAACTCGGAAGACAACGAATACCCGGAAGGTGTGGATCCTTCTCTCGAGTTTGTCATCACATCTGATGACATAACAGCCACTGGAGCTCCGGCCACTCTTATGATCTTCAACAACGAGAAAGGTTTCTCCGAGAAGAACATTGACTCGATCTGCAGTGTCGGAAGGTCCACCAAGAAAGGCAACAGGAAACGGGGTTATATCGGAGAAAAAGGTATGTCATTCCTCCGGAAGACATCTGCAATGATGATTTTTGGATGCCGCTGATGTTTTATGTATTTGTTGTTTTTCTAGGAATTGGATTCAAGAGTGTGTTCTTGATCACTTCTCAGCCATACATCTTCAGTAATGGTTACCAGATTCGATTCAACGAGGCACCATGTCCGCATTGTAGCCTAGGCTACATTGTCCCGGAATGGGTTGACCAACAGCCGTCTCTGGATGAAATAAGGCGGATATATGGTTCTGGTTCTGAGCTTCCCACCACAACCATCATCTTGCCTCTGAAAGCAGATAAAGTCAAGCCCGTGAAGGAGCAGCTCTCCCAGATTCATCCTGAGGTGTTGTTGTTTCTGTCAAAGATCAAGTGCCTTTCCGTCCGAGAACACTGTCAAGATCCTCGGCTCTGCACGGTGAACTCAATCGGAATCGTCAGTGAGACCGATTTTATGACTAGGAAGAGCATGGATGCTGAGTCATACACTGTTCATCTCTCTGCTCATGGCAATGGTAAAGAATCTGGTAAAGAATGCAGCTACTACATGTGGAGGCAGAAGTTTCCAGTAAAACCTGAGAATCGTGTGGAAAGGAGAATGGAAGCCGAGGATTGGGTGATAACCTTGGCATTTCCATTCGGAGAGCGTCTTGGTAAAGGAATTAGCTCTCCTGGAGTCTATGCATTTCTTCCCACCGAGATGGTAACAAATTTGCCGTTCATTATTCAAGCTGATTTCATCTTGGCGTCGTCAAGAGAAACCATTCTCTTGGATGACAAATGGAACCAGGGGATCCTCGAGTGTGTTGCATCCGTTTTTGTGAATTCATTCACCTCATTGGTGAAAAAGACTGATGCTCCGGTGTCTAGCTTGCTGCCGGTTTTCAAGTTCTTACCCACAGCGGAATCTTCCTATCCGAAGCTGAATGCTGTGCGAGAATCCATCAGAGCAAGGATCTCTCAAGAAGAAATTGTTCCAAGCGTGCCACATCTCGGGCAGAAGTTCTTTCATAGGCCGTGTGAAGTTGGTCGTCTCATTCCTGCCTTCTGGGACATCTTGGAGAAAGCGAAGAGGGAAGGTGCCAACTTGCAGAATATCTCTTCTCACGGAACATTCATTTTGGACTCCACTTTTGATGCACCAGAAAATGACAAGATTCTGGACTTCTTGGGGTTAAAAAGAGTCAGCGACGAATGGTATGCAAAATGCATTCAGGGCTGCAATCTCGTATCGGGCATAACCGATGAAACATATGTGGAGCTTCTCCTATTCATCGCTGAGAACTGGCAGTCAAGATTTCGGACTACATCGATGGTGAATGTTCCATTGGTCAAGTACATGGTCAAAAAGGGAGTCAGTTCCCTTTGCAGTATTTCGAAATTCAGTCCTCGGACATTATGTGTGTCACCAACAAACCATCAAGCATGGTTACTGGATTGGAACGAAGAGTTCAGATGCATGTCTACGTATGTCTTCATGCCAGAATCAACAAGAAAGTCACTTAGATCATGTCCCAAGAAACAGGTAATACTGGACTGGCTCAAGGAGAAGATAGATGTCGCAGACTTTAAGGTCTGCCATTATGCGAAGAAACTCAAGGAGAATCTCGGAGGGGAAAGGGGACTTGCGGTTGCATATGTTCATTTTCTATATCATTCACTCTCGAAGGAACTTTTATCAGAAGGAGATGTCGACGCTTGTTGCCATCGTATGCCACTCGTGGACAATTATGGAAATCTGAACAGAGTTTCTCTCCGAGTCCCTGACGCGTTTGCCAGTTAACTCCACAGGTGACAGAAACGAGATCGAAGAAGAAGAAGTCTTATTGGGAATGGTGTTCTAGTTCCTGCTAGTGTCAGCAAATGGGTCAGCCTAATCGGTTCAAATCCTTGGCGACAAGACGGTTACATTGAGCTTGGAGAAGACTACCTTCGTTCAGGAAAGTTCGCTGGTATAAGCTCAGGTCATCGGCAGCTTCTCGAGTTCTTGAAAATACACGTAAAGTCGGAAGATATACCCTACATATCTCCTCCCGATGCTGCTTTACCTGCGGTATCAGGTGCACTTAGAAAGGAAAATGCTTTCTTGCTCTTGGAGTGGATACGAAACCTCAAGATGTCAAGAAGCACTCTTCCTGTGAAGTTTCTGAATTCGATAAAAGAAGGAAGCTGGCTGAGAACATCTCTGGATGGTTTCTCTGATTATCGACCTCCGTTTCAGTCATTTTTCCATACTTCATCATGGGGAGACATTCTGCAAAATGGATCAGTACTTGTGGATATCCCGCTGGTGGATCGGAGCTTCTACGGGGATAAGATCACAAATTACATGGAGGAACTGAGAACCGTGGGCGTAATGTTCGAGTTCAGTGAAGCTTGTGCTTTTGTTGGAAAGCATCTAATGCGTTTGGCCGCAACCTCGTCGCTGTCGAAAACCAACGTGTTTTCAATTCTTCAGTTCATCCGATACTTGAGATCGAAATGCCTCCCGCCATCTGATTTCATCAAAGCCATTAAAGGAGGCCGTTGGCTTAGGACAACAAGCGGTGACAGATCTCCAGATGGCGCTGTTTTGTTCAGCCAAGAATGGAAATCTGCTAAACTGATCAGTGATATTCCATTCATCTCCAACGATTTCTATGGTGATGCCATAGAAGATTTCAAAGAGGAGCTCGAGTTACTTGGCGTTGTAGTCCGGTTTCATGACAGTCACAGCCTCATCATCGCCTACTTGAATTCTTCAAGGCTGAGTTATTTGACGGCGGATGCAATGTTCTTAGTTCTTGAATGTATGCGTAGGCTGAGCCCTTCGAAGCTGGTTGCTGCCCTGAGCAATGCCAGTTGCTTCAAGACGTATACGGGCTACCGATGCCCGAGAGAGTGTTTCATACCGGATCCCGACTGGGGTTGCCTTCTGAAAGTCTTCAATTGCTTCTCTTTGATCGACGAAGTTTTCTATGGAAGCATAATCTGTAGATACAGGGAAGAGCTGAAGCAGATTGGTGTGGTGGTACAGTTCGAAGATGCTGTGAAAGCTTTTGTGAGTGTGTTCAAGCAGAAAGCTTCGTCCTCTGCCGTAACAAAGGATTCCGCCTTGTCTCTTCTGTCTTGTTATAGGAAACTGATGCAGAATCCACACAGGTTCCCTCAAGATCTGAAGAACAGTGTTAAAGAGTTCAAATGGCTGCGCACAAAGCTCGGGGATTTTCGATCACCAGAGAAATGCATTCTCTTCGATCCAGATTGGGAACCTCTCCGTCTCATATGTAATCTCCCGTTGATTGATGATGGTCCAAACTGGTATGGCAATGCCATACATGACTATAAGAGCGAGCTCATGAGCTTGGGAGTCGTGGCCGAGCTGAGCAAAGGCGTGGATTACGTATTCAATTCGCTGGTCTTCCCTTCCGATCCATCTCGTATCGCTGCTTCAAGTGTGCTCTCTCTTCTGAAATGCATTGCTATCTTGAGAAACGAGAGGTTGCAGTCACTTTCCAAGGAGTTTCTCGAAAGGGTTTCTGTGAAGTGGTTGAAGACGTATGCTGGTTACCTTAGTCCTCGAGAGTGCCTCTTGTTTGATCAGAACTGGGAGCTGAATCCGACAGATGGTCCCTTCATCGATGAAGGTCATTACGGCCCGGAGATAAAATCACGCAGCAAAGAGCTTGAAGCGATTGGAGTTACCCTCGATGCAAACAAGGCTTGCCAGTTGCTTGCCAGCCGCTTATATGAACACTCTGATTCTGATGCCATAATCCGCATGTACCGATTTCTCAACAAGTTCGGGTGGAGCCCTGAGAAAGGAGCGTCTCCAGGCCATATCTGGATCCCGAGCGACGGCGGCAGCAACGTCGGGAGATGGGCTGAAGTTTCTCAGTGCGTGCTGTATGACAAAGACAAGCTCTTCAAATCAAATCTACACGTCTTGGAGAATCACTACGACAGCAAATCAGATAATGGTCTTTTCATCTTTTTCTCGGCTGTGCTCAACGTGAGAACCAACCCGTCTCTTGAAGATTACTGTGAACTGTGGAAGGATTGGGAGGGCAAGTGGGACAAGTTGTCATCCGAAGATTGCTGCTCGTTCTGGCGATTTGTCTTGAAGCATAGCCACAACACAAAAGCTCAGGAGTTTCTCTCCGAGTCCCTGACGCGTTTGCCAGTTAACTCCACAGGTGACAGAAACGAGATCGAAGAAGAAGAAGTCTTATTGTGCAACAAGAGCGATGTGTTCATAGCCGATGACTTGCTTCTGAAGGATCTTTTCAAGAACTCCCCTGTATTCGTATGGTACCCTCAGCCAAGCATTCCGACATTGCCACGAACTAAGCTCCTACAGCTCTACAGAAAGATCGGCGTCCAAGAAATCTCGAAACGCGTCGAGATGAAAGAATTAGACCTTCCCGAAGGCGTGGAACCGGAAGAAAAGAAGCCTGAAGACATTCTGATCGGGCCAGGACTCGTGAGGCTAATCCTCGGGTTTCTCTCGGACCCATCTCTCAATATTGAATCCGAGGAACGTTCTAGATACATCCAATGCCTTCTAAAGGACAACCTCAAAGTTCTAGAAACTCCAGAGACGATCTCGGCGGAGTACACTCTGAGATTGTCGACGAAGACGCTGAGCGTTAAGGCGGAGCAGATGATACGATGGGACAGAGAGAAGGCGGTGGTCTATGCCCAGAAGATGGAGAGGTCCTCTTCTTCGGTGGGGAAGAAGAAGCTTCTAGAATACGCCACGTGTTTTGCGGAGGTGATAGCCAAGGGAGTGATGTGGGAGAGAGAGGATCTGATCGGAAAGCTGTCGGAGCTGATAAAGATGGGTTACCTCTTGGAGTTTGACGAAGAAGCCGTCCAGTTTCTGATGAAGTCGAAGAACCTTCAGGTGTACGAGGAAGACGAGAAACTCATCTCCGATGCCTTCTCTCCCAAGTAACACAAAGGTACATACATTCAAACGAATACCCTTTTATATACTCTGTTTTTTTTTTAAATGTTTGACATTTCATGCTTCCTTTTTTTTTTTTTTTTTTTTGCAGCTCAATTGTGAAGGGAATCCAGGCAAAAAAAAAACGGCAGGTTGTCTTTTTTGTTGTTTTGGTTGTGTTATAAAATCAACCTGAATGGCCCTGCCTGCTCTTGGCGCCATTTCTTTTGAAAACCTTCCCCCTAAAAACCTGGAAGTTATGTCCTTTTGTCTCTGTGGATTAGTAAGATCGCTGGGAAGTTATAACTCACGCATTTATGTCTGCCTATTCACTTGTTTCCCTATCCATTGAACATTTTACTTGACAGATAACTTGAGACACAGAAACACGATCAAATTCTTCCCCTTACAATTACATCTTTCCGAAACCCTATCTCCTCTGCATCTCCGATTCTTCACTCGATACCTCGATATCCAACTCCCGGGATATGTCATCCATTTCCTGCTGATC